AGGTTATAATCTGGAGACTAGACTAGATATGAATTCAGCCTGGTATAGCAAAGCTTTTTTTTAGGATAGTAAGCTTAATGGAAACGAAAACTCATCTCTGTTCTTCAAGCATTGAAGTGGGAGAGACACCAGTGGAAACTGTTTCTCTGGGCAACACATCCAAACGCAATTAACTGACTTCTTCAATGCTGTATAAGATTTGGCAAAGGCATACTTGAAACATTCAATATGCAACATGTGAATATTCATTGCACATTGCCTTGCTGTTCTTTTTACAGCAAAATTCGGCAAAACATAAGCACTTTTAGAGCATGTTTATTTTCCATGTCAAATTAAATGCAAGCCTATTTTTTTCCCCACTGAAATCAACCAGACTTTAGTGTTTTTACCAGTGAGTTTTTTTATTCTTAATAAATTAAATTTGTTATTTTGGACAATTTTTTGTAAACTGAACAGGGAAGTTAGATAGGACTGTTTGGAAAGTTGTTTTTATCAACTTTCCTTTTGCTATAAATATTTTTTTAAAAATCAGAAAGCATCAATGTGACAGCTAGTAAAGAGAATAATGGAAACGATTTCCTCCAAACACATCTGCTAAAACTCTGTATGTAAGCTCACACTGCCTGGGAAACTTTGCTGCATTCCAAATTTTAGTGAACAGCCCTGACTGATGAAAAAACCTTGATTCTTACTGAAAGATGGATTAAGCTGCTATGTAAAGTTATTTGTTCTACCAAGATTTTGATTAGAAAAACTACTTTGAATAAGCATAAGTCAGATAGCCATGGGAATGAAGTGCCAAGTCCATAAAGAAAAAAAGCCTCAGCAATTTGATTTCTGGATATATGAAGCTTTAAATCTGAAGCTATCTTTTTGGCTGTCCCTTGTCTGGAATGCAATCCTTAGCATGCCACTGAACAATTAATTGTGGGCCCTGGTTAAAAAAGGATGCCCCCCCAGAACCTCCCTAAAGTTGTGAGCTACATTTAATGTTTAATGTGCTAAAAGGGACAAATCAATAAAAACAGGAAGTAAATGGATCAATTCATGTAATTAGTATAAGATATTTTAATTACATTTTAACAATTAACTTTTAGTTTCTTTCTGGCTGCCTCCTTGTCTGGAATGCAATCTTCAGCATGCACCTTGAAGATCAATTATGATGCCTGGTTCAAAAAAAGTTGGGCATTCCTGCTGTGGGGAATGAGACAGTTTGTCTCAGAGAACACTATTTAGGAAGATCATATTCACCTAAATAATGGTCCCTCTCTTGATTGTGGGTATATTCAAATGCATACACCCAGAAAAAATGTTTATACATATATACATGTGCAGTTATCCAGAAAGACATACATACAAAGTTACAACTACCTTTGATTTCCAAAGTACATCTATATTACTAATGTGGAATATCGACAGGGTCATAAACCAGAAGGAGAGGATAAAGTACAATATTCGCATTTTGAGATGCACGGGATTAGGTGCCTGACTTTACAAGGGACTTTTCATCCCTGCATGTGTGAGTATGTGCGAATGTCTGAGACCTGCTTCCACATTTAACATTACGTACAGGGTATGAATCAGCTTTTAATTGTGACAGTTTTACCAGCTGATCAAGTTATTCATATCACTGATGACCTCTGCCATCATGAGCCAATTCTCAGTGTATTATACAAAGCTGTGAGGTTTTGTTTATAAGGGGCTAGAATCCCCAGCACAGAATTAGAACTGAAAAAAAAAAAAAAAGGAAAAGTTATGTAATAACAGCAAAATAAACCAAGGTTGACTTTCCCCAGGAATAAGAAGCACAAATAAAGGGCATTAAGCTAAAATATATATTAAATAGGCAAGGAATTTGATACCTGTTGAATACTTCAATGAGAGTTACTGTCAGGGCAATTCCATTGAACTGTGGATTCTAATTGAGTCTTGCCACGTTTCCGCCATCAACATTTGAAGGATACTCAGAAGGAGAATAATATGAGACTCCGCAACAAATTGTGCCTGACTGCTTCCATGTATATAACTCTGAAAAATCGAAGGAAGAGAAAATTAATAATAGATCAGTCATTCCAATGGAACAGTCAGTGTGTGTGCATATTCATTCAGTAATTTAAAGGGTGTATTTGTATAAACCAGCCTGGAAAAACATATAAAAGAACACTGTGGCATATAAAGATGATTTTTTTTTTTGTCTGCGCTCAGTCATTACTGATCCTGCAGTGACTGCTTGGACTAGTCCTTGCAGTTTTCAAGGCAATTGTTTCGGAAGTGGTTTGCCAGAGCCTCCTTCTTCGAGCAGAGCCCAGTTGGTGAGCGCAGGAGGCGGGGTTTCCGTTGCTTCGCGCCCTTTTTGGGCGAGCGTGGTTTCGCGCTTACCGGCAACTGCTCCCGACTCCCGTGCAAACGCCGCCAGCATTTTTCCTCCCACCTGAGTGAGAGTACCCATTTATCTACTCACGTGAGTTTTCGACCTGTTGGGTTGACAGGAACTGGGGAGGAAACAGGAGCTCACCCTCTTTAGCGCGAAGGCTGGACTCGAACCGCCGAAGTGTCAGCCATTTCTGGCAGGCAACTAAATGCCCAGCTGCAAAGTTGTCTCCTTCTTGCTTAAAGCCAAAGAACCCCAAATGCAGGGACAAAAGCAAGCAAGGAGGGCCTCTGCCTTTTTTCCCAATTTGCAATTTCATTAGTGGCTTCTCTTAGGCTGTTGCTGGTAGCAGAACACTAGCCTAGATAAAACTTTGCGCTGATCCAGGAAAGTAATTGTTTTCTTAAAAGCCATCCTGGCCTATCAATGTTTTGCCCAAAATTTAATTACAATGATAGTATTAAACAGAACAAAATGCATGCATTAAATAGCTTTTAAAGAATAGGTAGTATTCAACAGACCAAGTGCTCAGCTTTTCTCACTCGCTGTCCATGCATCTCTGCCTATTCATTTCTGTCTGTGCTGCAGAAGAGAATGGGTGGGTAGATTTCCCTCCCCCTTTATTTTCTGAAGCATTCTTTTTTAACACACACACACACAAACTAATACACAGTGATATAAAGTAAGGAAGGAATATAGAAAAAGAAATAAATAAAAGTTTAAGCAAAAAGTGCAAGAAAAGAAAATAGTTTAAGAGAACTACAAAAAAAAAAAAGATACAAAGAAGTGGCTTCCGATATTCTTCACAGCAGTTATAAGTACTATTTTCTGAAACTTTCTAATTACAATGAACAACATGATTGCTCCTTGGACTGTAAACAAATGAAATGAATGAGCAACATGATTTAGGATGGAAATGATAATTCTACACCCAACCCCCAATTTCAACTTCCATTTTATCATTCAGGCTGATGTAGTGAGCTTTGTTTCTCAAACTTCAGTTTTTCACACTCCAGAACCCCTCCTAGCCCCCCACAGACACAGATAGGAGAAAGAAATCTT